AGCCCTGTGGTATGAATTCTACGCCATGATTTCTCAATCACTAATTTTATTTTTTTTTTGTATAGGGATTGAAGTTTAAAAAATAAAACACCCCCCCTAAAAAAAAAAATACCATGAACCCCCCAAAAACACCTATTCTGATCTAAGTGAACTAACTACTCACCTCGGTCTCATCAATCCAACTGGCCGTGGCTTGAAAGTTGCAGTATGAAGAACCTAACAGGGTGAAGACCTGTCAGAAAACAGGTAAAGACCTGTTTTCAACCATTCCTCCTAAGCAGAACATCCCATCTCTTTGCTCAGTCAGTCTCTCAATTTCTGTATGCCAGCGGTGAACGGTGCATTCAGGAGCTGAAGCTGTTGTGAGGTGGATTCGGTTTTCTTGGAAGTATTAATGTTTTTTGTGTCATCAACTACATGACCCCAAGAACTGGGATGTTGCCCATGCAAAGCTGGATGGAGAGCAATATCTTTCTGTCCCTTACCCACATGCACCCCTTTCAGAATTACAAAATTAAGTATTTATAGTCTGGGGAAGGGATCAGCGAAGGGAAGGAGAGAGGCACTGGTAGGTTGCTGATACTTTCTATTTCAGGTAGTAGACTGGCATTTGTGGATTCCCAGCCCCAATGAAAGGACAAACAGTCCTTACCAATGAAATTATTGCTTATTTCATTAAAAAACTTTGAGACCACATCTATTTGGTTCCACAAGTAGTAATTAAAAATATAGAAAAGTACTGGAATTTGAGTAATTTAACACTTCACATTTAAAAAGGAAAGAAAGCAGAACTATTACCTCGGAACACGTTGAAAGTGTTTTCCTATGACTCTCTATTCTTCCTCTACGCCTTGGCCGTGTCTCAATCCAGTTTCATATCAGAACAGCTCAAACAAAACCACCCAGATATTACAATAGCCCCTATCTTTGTTCATGGCATCAATCCTTCCCAAATATCAAACATATTGTTATAAACTAAAGGCTCGATAATTGTGAGAATCAGCTCTCTGACTTGCTTCCAGCAATTGAGCAAGGAAGGAGTTTCTTGGCTCAAAAGTACTGTCTTGGCTTAAGTGGCATTTTGTATGGCCAGAGCAATGTAAAAGACTTCAAGAAAACACCATTAGCACTGAAATGTGGTTGGTGGGGAGTACGTGCACTCCGTTGCTGTAACAGAGAAGAACACTAGCAAGCGTGGTCCTCAGACACATGTGTGTGACTTGCTGGCTCAGACATGTGAAACTACAGTAAATATTCATACACAAAAAATTCTGACACACAGAACAGTATATGGCCATATCTCTTGTCAACATCTATGGGACAAGAAGTGGAGCAGTCAGACTGAGTAAATACAACGACAATTACCCACAAGCAACTTGGACCTTATTTCCCACCCGGAGAAGTAGCTACATGGGATACAAACAGTAAAAAAGAGACATGTTTTATCAGCTTCCCCCACACAAGAAGGACATGGAGCTGCTGGAGCAGGTCCAGAGGAGGCCACGAAGATGATCCAAGGGCTGGAGCACCTCTGCTATGGAGACAGGCTGAGAGAGTTGGGGCTGTTCAGCCTGGAGAAGAGAAGGCTCCGGGGTGATCTTATAGCAGCCTTCCAGTACCTAAAGGGGCTACAGGAAAGCTGGGGAGGGACTTTTTACAAGGGCGTGTAGAGATAGGACAAGGGCAATGGCTTTAAACTGAAAGAGGGGAGATTTAGATTAGATATAAGGAAGAAATTAATTTTTCCCTCTGAGGGTGGTGAGACAGTGGAACAGGTTGCCCAGAGAAGTTGTAGATGCCCCATCCCTGGAAGTGTTCA